TGATGAAATTCATCATACCACTTCTAAATTTCTTTAATCGGTCCATAGTTACCGCAAGCCCAAATAAAACAATTCATAGTGTAAAGATCTTGTAGGCATTAAGAGACTTTTCCATATCTTTGAGCATCCTGCCTTGACATATGCATCAATTATACAAGTGTAAGTGACTAGTTAACTTCAACCAAATAATAGAGAATTTCCTCAATGACCCCAGTGATCAAATCAGAGTGGGACAGTTTAAAGCAACAACTGATGAGAACTATATACATGTATATATCAGGTTAACATTCACAATTTTTCATCAATTACAGAAACGTTTCGTCAGAACAATCACTAAGGACATAAGCACCCAAAAGTGGTGTCGCCATTAACAATTGGTTTGAGTCCTTCAGGAAGCGCGCTTTGGAAGAGCTACATATTTGCTCGCTCGCGTCGTTTACATGTGCCAAGTATTTGAAAAAGTTGTACATGATATTTGGGATGATACAAATGTTTCCACAAGGAGTAATTAAAAAACTGCAAATATGCGTAATAAAATAATATCCTGATCATTGAGGTGAACTTCTCATGCATGAAATCACCTGGTTTCCATTATATCAAAGTTTATTCAAGTGCCAAAGAACATAAAATGTTCGCTGACTATGTAATACCAATATTAACATGACCATTTGTTCACACAGATATTTAATGTACAAGAAATATTAAAGATTACAAAGGTACAAGAGCTAGTCCGGAGTCTAAACCATATCCGTAAGGAGTATAGTTTATATCTTGGGCAATTAATTATGAATATTTCTTCCTTCTACCATGATTATTATATAGGAAAGTGAGAACCATGTGGCTCACTCTGACACAATGCGAATATTTGCAAGAATGATCTTGTCATCTTTAAAAACATTTCTTCTAATAGGGAAACCTTCAATCTAAAAGGTCTAGTCAAATTCAGTGTATTAAAAGCAGCCAGCCACAAAGGTCAACTAGGCAGGGAAATCCTAGGCAACTCATCATAGGCAGAGGACCCCTACCAAAGACTAGTCAGCCTAAGTGCCACCTAGCGCCAAGTGCTCGGCCCCAAGCCCCTATCAGAGGCAAAAACATGCATTAAGATGGGGCAAAAAGACTTTTTCCAAAGAATAAGGCTAGGTGGTCAGGGTGGTGGGTTGCCTTAATACGACGTCTTCAATTTCATTCTTACAATAGAGTAGAGAACTAATCCCCATTGAATTGCTCAAAAAAAAAAAAAAGTCCTTTTTTCCCCTAGAAAATGATAAAGGGGCTGGCAGGAGGACATTATGAGAAACTTCGGTAAATCTCTAGTTTTTATTTTTTTTAATAAATGTTTTTTGGGTTTGAAACAAATCTTTCAAACTTGAAGTTTGAAAAATTCCAAATTTGTGAGGCCTAAAGAGACAAATAGTTTTGGCATCAAAATGGTCGGTTGGATAATGGGAAGAATACAACTTCTATGTTGTAGAAGAAGCGCTTGCCCTTTTCTTACATTGCTAGATCCGGCTAGTATTTGAGAAGTCATTCAATGGAATATTTCCGTGGCACAAATTCAATTCCTTTTCAGGATAATTTATCGAAAACTTGTTTTATGTTGGAAATTAAAAAATAGTCCATATATTTCATGTTTTAGACTCAAATCTCATTTGTTTTAAAGTATATAGTATTATTTTAATATTATGCCTTTTTAAATACATCGGATTAAACTTAAATTTGGTGTTTTAATATTTATGATCCTCAAATCCATAGAAAATATTTTTAATAATGGAACGTAAATGAAATTATTAAAATACCACTAGATAGTATAGGGGTATTTTGGTTATTTATTATTTTTTAGTTATTATTTAAATATTTTTATAGGTGTGATGGTGAAAACTACAAATATACTACATTAGAGCTTAAACTATATTATATATATATATATATATATATATATATATATATTTTAAGTTCTTAAAAAGTGAGACTTAATTATAAAATATGAAATATAAATATAATAAATATATGACCACTGCAAAGATAAATATAAATATTTTTTCTTTATTTTCACCTAGAAAAAGTGAAAAACTCTCCTCTTTTTTTTTTTTGTCTTTTTTTATAATTAACTATTTCTAGGCAAGCCTAAGTTTAGGTGGGGTACCAAATTTAAGTTTTTGAACTCCATATGGCTTACCCTTGTATATTCTTTTCTGATCTCAGGCATAGGGAAGTCTATTTTTTATTTTTGAAATATTTTCAAAGAAGGATATGAGAGCCTTACCATTCTAATGGCTAAGGATCTCTCAAAAACTTTGCACAACTACCTAGTGGAATCTTATGTGCAAATTGAATGCATTCTACAGTCGTTTGAACAAACAAGCACATAAACTACTTTACATCTAATTACGAAATTTAAAACTAAAAAAATGGTCAATCTTGAGTAAATCTATAATCAAATGAAAATCTTGAGAATAAACAGTTTTACAGTCTTTCGAACAAACAAGCACATAAACTACTTTATATCTAATTATGAAATTTAAACTCAAAAAATGGTCAATCTTGAGTAGATCTATAATCATATGAAAATCTTGAGAACAAATAGTTCTACGGTCTTTTGAACAAAAAAGTACATTCAAACCTGACGTACTATTAGTTTAAAGTAGCGTTTGAAAAATCACCGATCCGATCTGAAATCGGGCTATCCGGATCAGGTATCGGTGACACTGTTTCAGATCCACTAATAAAACAGGATCCAGGCAGTTTAGATCCGGTTTGACGTCATCAGTAACCCTGAAGTCATCACTCCCTTGTCTTTTATGCCAACAAATCACTCAGGCGGCATTGTACCATGTCCTTCATCCCATAGCACTAGGGTTCTTTGAGTGGGAACAACTTTTATATGGTAAACTGCTCCCACATCTTCTTGATGTGGGGCAAATTTCTTTGTCTATTGTCTCCTTGTTGGCTAGCGTTAATAAAGTCCACTATTAAAATTAAAATTAAGCCCTTTTGCTATAAAAAATAACCCCCTTATTAGATATTAGGCAATAGGCTATTGATTAATAGAGATTAAAAAGAAACAAATAATACTAGCTTATAGGATATTAAAACAACAAAAAATAATATTAATACTAGTTTATTGACTATTAAAAAAACTACTAATTTATGGGATATTTTAAGAGAAAAAATAATACTAACCCAAACCACTTTAAAGTCTATTTTAAAGTTGCTTTGTCAATTATCCCATATTGCAAGTATAATTTTTATTTAATTTTTAGTTTTATTATAATATAATTATAAATTTACTTTTCTAAATTCTATACTTTTGTAGATTTATTTATTTGTAAGGGTCATACCTTTGTTTTTTGAATCATGTTTATTACAATATTATAATTAATAATTATACATTGATAATCAAATCTTGTATTTTATTTGTTTATTTATTTACATAATAAATTATATAAAGTATTATTTTTATTATAGTTGTAAATAAATTTTTTTAAAAATTAAATAATATTATAAGACAAATTTTAAATTTATTTATACAGGGAAAGAACATCTTAATATTCACATATTGATATAAAAAAATGAAAGTTCTTAATGTAACACCCCTATTTCTTATTGGATTCCTAAAAAGCAACATTTATAATGATTTTTAATAATGTTTTTTGATTTTTTTAAGGCCGAATCTGATCGATTCCTGATTCGAAACGCTAATTCACTGATCTGGATGGGTTTTTCGGATGTCCAATCCAAAGCACCAATCCGTTTTTTAAACCATTGGTTTAAAGATGTCATTTTGTATTGGGTGTGATTGTATAAGGTGTCAACTTTAAACAATCTAATTAAAGTGCACCTCCAAAGTATATTGAAAGATATAATTTTGGTGTCGAAAACTTCAATGACGACTTGAAAAAGTACTTTTCATCTAATTATGAAATTTAAAACTCATAAAATGGTCAATCTCGAGTAGATCTACAATAAGATGAAAATCTTGAGAATAGACAATCTAAATAATTTATTATAGGGTGTGGTTTCTATAGAGCCTGGGCTTTAAACAATCAAATTAGAGCCTACCTTCAAATAGTGTTGAGAAATGTAGTTTCAATACTGAAAATATTTGTGATAGCCTTAAAATATATTTTCATCTTTATTTATAAAGTTTAAAGCTTAAAAAATAGTGTAGATTAATAGATATATTAAAACTTGAAAATCTTGAAAATTGATGTTCCAAAAATGCATTACAAAATACACTATTTCCAAAACTTGAAATCCATTTTTTTCTCATGTCTATGCATGTTGATGTTGAGATGATCAATTTGAGTATATTGGAGCATCAAAACAACATTTTCTAGTAAATGTTTTGAGGTAGGTTCAAAATTGATTGCTTAGAGCCTCGACTCTATATAAACTTTTTCCCTTTATTATAAGATGTACTTTTTTTGTACTTAAATTTTTTTTCCCACATCCATACATATCGAGGTTGAGATTAATTAAATAGGTATTCGACATCAAAACAACATTTTACGATGCATTTTTTAGGTTTGTCTTTTTTATTTTCTACGATTTAAGGTTGCAACATTTTATGAACTTTTTTCGTTTATATTTTCTCTTTTTTTCGTGGTAAGCATGATGCATATATGTCCCTTACTTTCTATAATTTTTAAAAAAAATGTTGCATGCGGGCTGGACTACATTTCTACATATGCGGTCAGAAAAGTGTAAAGCATCCATTTAAAAGATGAATACAAGTAGGTGTTCCATCTAAAAACAATAGAAACTATTGGTCTAAATGTTTTCTTAAACACTGCCACTATGTTTTTGTAAGGGCGTGCCTGGATCATTGGATTGAAATTTCCAAAAGTCACTTTTTCTAGAAAAAAAGAAACAATTGCGTTAGGCTTGCTTAAAATTGACATTTCCATTGAAATTGAGATTTTCATGAAATTTCAAAATACTCGAATTAATTTCCATACAACTCCAAAATACCCGAATCAAGCCTAAATTTTGAAAATCTCAATCCCACTAAAATAGGTGGAATTGACATCATGGAAATCACGTACTTTCTTTGCCGTCATCAACTGCGGTAAGCTCCGCACTTCTGAAACCCTGAACCTCCCCATAGAACCAAACCATGCCGCTGAGAACGAAACCATCTGCCATCTGAAAACGAAACCCTAGGGCTATTGCTAGAGCTTCTTCCCTCTCTCTCTAGAGCATCTTCGGATCCACTCGCACCTCTGTAGAGCCATATGCTGAAGAACGAAACCCTAACGCCATTGCTCTCTATCCTCTCTCTGGAGCTTCTTCGGTTCCACTCGCACCTCTCTGTAGAGCCCCAACAGAAAAGTAAGATTTTCCCCGTTTAGATGTGTTTTTTGTGTTATTCAATCTGCAAATATTTTTGCCTGTAAATGCATGTTTCTTTCCTTTTTATTTTCTTTTTTGCTTTTGTTTTCTTATTGTTTTTTATGTATACGTGCCTGAAAATTTTCCCCTGAGATTAAATTTGGGTAAATGTTGGGTTTTTTTATTACTTGGAAACAATTAAATTTGGGTCTACTGTAATCCATCCAAATTTCTATTTTTTTTTTATGTTGGTTTTAGGGCCTCGTTACATCTTCTTGTGCTTCATTCTATGTGCCAAATTTAGAGTACTTAATTTCAACTACGCCTATATTTGGTGCTGTAAATTTTCTTGAGTAATTTGATTATCAGTTTGGGCTTCTGTCAATTCCAGTTTCAATTGATTAGTTTCATGATATAATCTTGCAGTCTTATTTTAAAACACCCTATTTCTTTCGAGCTTGAATGGGTTATCATATTGACATGCTAACTTCTCTTACTGTTTATTTTTATTTGTCAATTGGATGATTTTCGCTGGAATATGTGTATTAAATCTATATACAATATTCTAAAAAAAAAATCTATATGCAATAGTCCGTCTCTTTTTCTCCTTTGAATTTTAAGCCCATTTACTTGTGCTTTTATCCATGACAGAGCTCTAAACTTAAGTCGTTGGTTTTACTTCCCTGTCATCCATTGGATTATGCATGTACATGAACCAGGTGCCCAACAGGCTTTCCCAATATTTGGCTTTTTTTTTTTTATGGAGTTGCATATGCAATCACGCGGCGTGTTCAAAATGATCTAGACTCCAACCATAGTATGTAGAGTTTTGGTGTCAAAGTGCATGGTATGACTTTATTGTCTGCTAGAGAGAAATGTCAGAAGAGACCCAGTCCTAGATGTAATGATTTGGTGTCAAACTAAATGTTTTTTTTTTTGGTTGTTGTTGTGCCCTCTGAATTTTGATTTTATTGTAGCACTCTTCTAAATTTGCGTCAAATATTTCCAATTTCATATATTGTCTTCACTTGAATTGGTTTAATAAATTTGGTGTGAATTGGTTCATTTAACACACTTTTTCTTAGTTCATGCTCATGATTCACATACAAGAACCGTGCATTGGTTCTGAGTTGATTATCAGTATTGTAGGGGCTGTTGACTTTTGACAAACATCTTGTCTTCTAATTTCCATAACGGTTTAAATACCTATTTATTTTTTCTGGATTTATTGATGGGTATTTTTTGAACTAGCATTTTACGATTTATTGATTATTAGTATTGAAGGGGCTGTTGACTTTTGACAAACATCTCTAGGAAAGAACTACAAATACCACATCTTCCCAACTCTTTCCCTCAAATGGAAACACCATGATATACTGCACGTTGTTTTTTATTTTCTCTTTTTCTTTTGTTTGGACTTGAGAGAGAGAATTAATAATAATTGTTTTTCTCATATACTTGTAAAAGAAATGAATTATCAGAAATTTGGACCTAGCAGTGCATAAAAATATTAAAGAACATCCAAGAATTTTAAGTTGAGCATGAAGCTAGTTAAATATTGTTTGTTAATGGGTGAAGATGAGGAAAATTTTCACTTTTGCATGCACCAATGAAAGGCTTCATTCCAAGAAGGCTAGAACATGCATGACTGTTAATTATCTTCTTCTTCCTTTTTTCTTTAAATTTTTTTGAATACTTGACCTGAATTTTTCTCAAAGCTAAAAAAGAGAAACAACCGAATTCACTTAGTAGTGATGGTGGGTACTTTTCGTGTAGTTTGTATCATTGGGTGCAAATAAGTGACTGCTCAGCTCAACTTTTGCTCTTCGCAATGAAGGATACATGATAAAGAACACCTTGAGGAGTGTTTGGATCCATTGAGAGCTGTAATGGTGTAGTGTTCTTGCAAGAGATTTCTAAAACTGATTCTTTTGCCATGCAAGAATCATTAACTACCAAGCTTGTGTCATTTTTGCTCATCTGAGGTAATTGGAGCTCATAAGTGAATATGTGCTACACTGAATATTTGATCTGTGTGGAATATGTGCTAGAACCTAGAAGTGGTGAATGTTGTTGAAGTTTATATTGATGTTTTTAAATGTCAAAAGTGTATTGATTTATTCTAGATTTTTTTTGGCTAATTTGGCCATTGGCTTTACCAAGTATGAACACAAAATTATTTTCTATTTTTGTGAGAGGCATAATATTGTATGATGCTTTGAAGTGCAAAAACTAAAACTTACCAAGCATGGTTGATATCTACAATGACTATCCAACGGAGAGATACAACCGACTTTGAAAGAATGATGGTAAATTTGGATGTATATGCAGCCAGTTTAAGTGTAGTTGCCACAGCTTTGGCTAGTGCTTTTCGTAGAACGAGGGCCCCAAGTGAAGACCTTTGGGCACTAACTTCTATAGCTCCATAATCCACACCGATGAAGTGAGTTGTTGTAACCAAATAAGAATGAGTCGAGCTGCTTACTTCCAACTTAGGGATATTATTAGGCAGAGAGAATACATAAATGATATGTTCTTGGTATCTCTAAATGAACAATTGGTTATGTTCTTCCACACTATTGGCCACAACTTGAGGAATCGCAAGATAGGTCACCAATTTGGGTGCTCAGAGGAGTCTGCTAGCCGACACTTTAATCGCGTGCTGAATGCAAGTTTAAGACTCAATCCTGATTGCATAAGACGCCCACATATGGCTACACAACTAGAAATAAGCAAAGATAGGAGGTTTAAAGATTACTTCGAGGTAGTTTGCAACTTCAAAGTTTAACTCATTTCATTTCAAATTATCAATTGTTAGGTAGAGTCTACTTTGCTCATTGATTTCAATTTTGGTCTATGTAGGACTGTATTGGGGCCATTGACGGCACCCATATCCCTGCTATTGTTAGTCGGTATGTTCAAAGTAAATACCAGAATCGTAAGAGTTTCACATCACAGATGTTATGAGTGTTTTTTCCTTAAATCTAAAATTTTAATATGTACTTGCGGGGTGGGAAGGTTTGGCATCGGATTCTCGTATTCTTCAAAAGTCACTCACATGTACAGACCCTCTTCATGTGCCCCCTGGTAAACATTGTACTGTTTTACAACATTGTACTGTTTTACAACATTGTACTGTTTTACAATATTCAAAATTGCATATACATAAACCAATGAGGTAATAAACGTAGTTTGTTTCTTTATTAGGAAAATTTTACTTGGTCGATGCTGGCTACCCAAATATTCAAGGATTTCTCTCTTCGTACCGCCCAACACGTTACCATAGTTGAATGTTGCTTCTGAGCTTAAGATCGTGTATCATGGAAATATTCTCATTATCTTGCAATGGCAACTTAATTTCACTAAACCAAGTATACCGGAATTAAAGGAGCATCTGTTACTTCTATTTCAATGAGAGTTTACTTTATAAAATTATTTTGGTGAATTTAAATGTCAAAGTCCGTGATCATATCTCTAATGTATAAGGGGATCAAACATTGTTTCTTCTTCCCTATAACACATAACAATTTACCAAGATACTAAAATTCCTGGTGCTACAGATGTCTATCAGTTATGGTTAGCCTCCTTTTTTTCTTTTTTTTGCCCTTTTTGTGGGGATAATAATATGGTTGGCTACTTGACCATTTTCTATGGTAGAACTTGTTCTTCAAGTCCATATGCCCTCACCATCAAGATAAATAATGGCTAATAGTGTTTAATGAAGAGCTTCTACAACAACAAAAATACAGTGTATTCAGCCTCAAGTAGCTCCTCTTTGGTATGCTATTATTTGTAACATACATTCTTCCAAAACTGAGACGAACAAAACTTATCAGCTTGGGTGAATAACTGAGTACCCCATGAGCAAAGAGAAATTAGGTGAACTGAAATGGCCGTGCAGCTCTAATCAACAACTTTCCTTTGACAATATTATGAGTGATCAAACCCTCACCTTGAAAGATGAAACCTTAATATAAACAACAACAGCTCAACAACCTCATTCCTAAGTCTTCAAGATACTCATCAAAAGAAGCTTACATAACCAATTTCAAAATCTCTCTCCTCGAAACTTCGAGCTACAACCTTTTACCCAATTAATAACATAAAAATGTTTAATCACCATCATATCCTAGCCAGTCCACTCTTCTCACCATTGAGAAAAGAAGCTAAAAGAAAGAATATACGGAGGCAACTTAACCAAAGTAACCTCAACAAGTACCATCGATGATAAATGTGAACATCCATACTTTTATCAAGATTCCCACAAATTCTCCTGTCTTATCACACCAATTAACTTTGAATCATTCTCAGTGCACTAAGTTAATGAGTTATTGAACTTTCCATAAATGTTAATATCCATACTTCCCTCAAAAACTGACTAAATTCATCTAGCCTTCTCTGTGAATCATTCTGATTGTACTAAGTCACCAATGTTTTGAGAGCAAGATATTTCATATAAACCCACCGCTTATTCCTTGTTATAAAAGAGGCGCAATTCAGGATACCAGTTATGAAGCCAAATTCCTCCCCTTCCCGAAATAAACCTGATCACCAATATAAACATCTGAATAATGAGATGAAATATATTAACAGGCTCTAAGTGCTGTGGCATAAAAGTTTTCTTCCCTATGTGTCAAATAGAATTGAAGTTAAAAACCTTCTGCAGTAAAGTATTGCATCCTTCTAAACATAAAAGTAGTGTACTAGGACTTGGCCGAGTCCACTCAGACTCGCCCTATGGGCGAGGCGAGTTTTGCTGTACACACACCATACATAATGTATATAGATTAATACAACGACTTCAATCAGAAATGTTAAAATGGTGCTCTGGGTAGCGCAAATGCTTATGTCCCATCATGGTTGGGGTTCAAACCCCGAACATGAACACTCGCTTTTTGTGTTTTTAAACCGAGCCCACTTCTTAGGCAGTTAAAAAATATAAAGGGGGAAGTCAAGAGGTATTGAGGATTCGAACCTGAGACTTGCTGCAAGGAGGCATACAAAGGGCAAACACTCAGCTAATACACCATTTGATGTTTTGTGTAAGTGATTGGAAGGTTATACAATATTATGGCTATTTATTTGTATTTATTTTTCCTTTTTAAAGACTGGTTGGACTTGGGTGAGTTACTCGGACTCGTCCGAGTATCTCGCCTCGACCAAGGTCTGAGTACCTTGGCCGAGTCGATTTTCAATACATTGCATAAAAGGACTTAGATGAGAATGATCCAAAAAGCATCAAACCACCCTATCAAGTAGAATACAATTTCATATCACTAACATGCTTAGAAGAACAATTTATTTTAGAACATGGTCTTCAATCAAATTATTTTTTCACCATTTTTAACTAACCACCAAGAAATATCACAAATCCTTAGTTCTGGTAATAATATAAGAAGATGATGGCTTTATACAATTGTTTATATTAAATCCAGTAATCTATTCAAACCGCAACTAAAACATTATGTGAAATCAATCACAATTTATAATATCTTAAAATCCAAGCACAAATCATTGTTACACACAATGTATGGTAATTATAGAGGAAGTAGGTAGTTGATTTCAATGTTTCAAAAGGCACTAGGTGGGTCCTCGGCGGCCTATGGGGTTTAGGCCGTCCAGTGCCTAGGCGGTCGCCCAGAACTTGGGTGGCCCAATCGAAAAAAAAAAAGGCCGATATAGTATTTAACAGTATAAATATAACTGTATATTGTATAAAATATAAGCATTAGGGATTTAGAGTACATTAAAATTCAAAAGTATACTACACAACACATAGGAGCACACACTCCATAAGCATAGCCATAAGTCCCCCCTGATACTGGCAAAATGTTTTTTGAACTGGTTTATGCCCCATTTTGTATCTTTTTCGCAAAACTTGCATCTTATACAATTTTTATCCAAAGGATTTTGGTTGTAGCCATATTTCCAACCTGGATCACCACTTCTATTAGATCCCGAAGAAGACATCTTAAAATATGAAAATAATACAACGTATACAAGCAATTAAAAAAAAACCACTTACTTTGATTGCTTGATCTCCAAATTTCAACCTCTAAGATGCTTCTAAGGACTCAAAATCTTCTAAAAAACCCTCTAATTGATGTATAGAACATCCAAAATTAAATCTAATATCAATTAGTGATGTTTTAATCAATTTCTCATAACTTTGAGAAACCCTTTAATCTTAAAGAAATCACCAAAAATTAGTTTTTGGGGGTTCTCTCTCTATATTGGCCTCTAATGGGTTATAGGTTTTAAATGAACTTAAAACTCACAATTTTGGCCCCTTAGTATGAAACAAAATGACACAAAATGCCCCTACTGAGTTTCTTTTCCACCTCTAGGAGGGGCGCAGGCCCTGGACTGCCGCCCAGAGCTGGACCGGGCACTCACCTAGGCTGGTTCCTCGGTGGCTAAGTGGGCGCTCAGGGTTTTCACATTTTTCTGGTGCCTAGGCTTGGGTGCTGCGCCTAGGCCTTTTGGACCGCCTAGGCGTTGGGCGGTCCTCTTTTTGAATCACTACTTGATTTGCGTTTTAATTTTCCTATACATGGCACCGGTTTAATCACCCAAAACCCAAATTGATAATGATTCACAATTAAAACATTATTAGTTTACTGTTACATGAATATTTGCAAATTTGAGTCCTAGATGAAATTGACTGTAACAAGCCAAACTCCTTCCATTAAGTGCCCTGTCAAACTCCTTCCATTAAGTGCCCTGTCCTTAACAAATGAAAATTTTCTTACTTTGATATAGATGTTATAATAATTAGTCTCGATAAAAACTGCGTTTAAATACTACAACTGAGAAAGTAAACCGAATTTCAGAGAAAACATATCCAGAGAAAATTTTACAGAATATCTGCAATACTTTGTGTTATTCAATGAAGTGGTTTTCAAAACAAAAAATCTAAATATATGAACAAAATAATAAGAAGCGATAGAGAAAGGTGCTCAAAGAGAAGGTGGGTAGGTAATGAAAGTCGGAGATTAACTTGCGCAACTTGCAGTCGAAGCTCGGAGTGCAATGTAGAAAGAGAATGTAGAGAGAGAGAGAGAGAGGGTCTAAATAATACTAATGAGAGAGAGATAAAATAATCTTAATGCTTTTGGCTCTCGAAATAAATTAACTAAAGCACTTGATTTTTTTGGGTTAAATAAGGTACTATTAAGAGAGAGAGAGAACTATGAGAGAGAAAGAGATGGTTCTAATCATGATCTATATATCGCTCGGGAGTTGTTTCGTGCAACATGCATTGTCCACTAATAGCTTCAGGACGTTTGGGGGAAGAGGCTTTATACCCACGATGTTTTCAATTAAGACAAGCTTTATAAAAAAAGAAATAATGAAAGAGAAAAATTAAAGCCTCACCTCAAAGCTTGATCCAAAATATACTTTGGACATGAGAAATCGCTACGATAGCTCTAAAATGAATTTTCATTGATGATTATGAAATTTAAAACTCAAAAAATTATAAAGATCTTGTGGACCAGTGACCACTTTTTTTTAGGAAGAAATAAATAGTCTAATAATATGCTATAGTATACACTATTTTTAGAACATGGAATCCTTATTTTTTTGCTATCCTAATGTTTTTCACAACCGTAATTATTGAGACTGAGATTATCGAAATAAAAGTTTTCTGACCCAGCACTTTTTTTTTTTTGTTTCAATGCGAGGCATTCTTATTCTAATAGAGCTGCGCTCTTATCGCAACATTTCTCCTAATTGAAAACATCGTGGGTTTAAAACCTCTTCCCCCAAACGCCTCAAAGCTATTAGTGGACGACACGTGTTGCACGAAGCAACTCCCGAACCATATATAGATATGATGATTAGAGCCATCTCTTTCTCTCTCATCTCTCTCTTAATAGTACTTTATTTAAACCAAAAAATTCAAGTGCTTTAAACTTAGCTAATTTATCTCGAGAGCCAAAACGTTAGGATTATTTCATCTCTCTCATAGTATTATTTCGTCCCCCTCTCTCTCTCTCTACATTTTCTTTCTATATTGCACTCCGAACTTTGACTGCGAGTAGCGGAGGTTAGAGGAAATCTCCGACTTTCATTACCTGCCTACCTTCTCTCTCTCGTCCTAGGTCTGTGAACACCTTTCTCTATTGCTTCTGATTATTTTCTTCTTTTATTTAGATTTTTTTTTTTTTTTGAAAACCACTTTATTGAATAACGCAAAGTATTGCGGATATTTTGTAAAATTTAATCTGGATATGTTTTCTCTGAAATTAGGTTTTACTTTCTCTCTTGTACTCTTTAAATGCAGGTTTTTATCGAGAACAATTATTATAATATCTATATCAAAGTAAGAAAATTTTCATTTGTTAAGGGCGGGGCACTTAATGGAAAGAGTTTTGCTTGTTACAGTTAATTTCATCTGGGACTCATAATTTGTGAATATTCATGTAATAGTAAAGTAAAAATGTTTTAATTGTGAATCATTATCAATTTGGGTTTTAAATGATTAAACCGGTGCCATGGATAGGAAAATTAAAACCAAAATCAGCTACCTACTTCCTCTGTAATTACCTGACATTGTGAGTAACAATGATTTGTGCTTGGATTTTGAGATATTATAAATTGTGATCGATTTCATAGAATTTTTTAGTTGGGGTTTGCATAGATTACTGGATTAATATAAACAATTGTATAAAGCCATCATCTTCTTATATTATTACCAGAACTAAGGATTTGTGATATTTTATAAAGTAAAACTCTCATTGAAATAGAAGTAACATATGGTCGTTGTTTAATTCCAGTGTACTTGGTTTAGTGAAATTAAGTTGCCATTGCAAGATTATGGGAATATTTCCATGACACGTAAAAATGGCATCCAGCTATGATAGGTGATGAAAATTTCCCCTTCAACAATGGCGTTCTTGTTTAATACATTTCATGTCATTAACAATGGAAAATGATCAAACTATCTCTCCATTTTTCAGATAACTGGTATGAAATCTCCTTCTTGCTTGTGGAAGAATTTCTGATACAGTTGACAAGCTAGTTATCACAAAAAAAGCAAAAGATATGATTGACCAGCTAAAGTTAGTTAACCTTGAAATTGATGGAATATTGGATTTTTGTATGGGATAATTTTTAAGTATTTGTAAAAGAAAAGGTGTATTATGTTCAATGCCAGTTTCCTGTTTTCTTTTCATTAGTTCAATTATCTATGTCCTCATGTACGTAATTTGGTAATTTGCACTTGAGTTCCCCATGGTTAGATGTCCAGGGCTTCAGATAGTAAAAGTTTATTGTACCAGTTTCTGTGTAATGCATATCCAGTATTGACAAAGCTAAACCTATAGGAAATACAAAGTTGGAAGGATGGAACATGCTGATGATGAATGTCGGGCAGCTGGCGATCACCATGGCAAACAAGATGGTGAGGTAAGCTTATCTTCTCATTTGTACTTGAAGTTTTCCAATATTGGATTCGTAAGTGACCTGCCATGAACTATTTAATTCGCAGTTCCTTTTCTTAAGCTTTGATATATGCGTACTTCTTATCCTTCATGCATGTTTCTTGGTCATGGTGATGCATGTCAAAACGCAAAATCTTTATCATATTTTCTGTGGATCTATTTAAATATCTCTTCTTAATATTAGAATTACTTTTTATATATGTTACATTTTTCCTAAGAACTTATAATTATTCTTTGCAATTAGTCTATTTATTGGCTTTAGGCATAGACCTTTGAGGTATTAAGCTGCAATCTAGTGAAGCCTCATTTCTTTGGGATCGTCTTGGGTCCCAATGAGGGTTGATCATCAATGTCACTGCTTGGATCTTTCATTTGGGTTAAATCTGTCGAGAGATGAGAATTAGGAGTTACATGGAGATGATGGTATACAAAAGGTAGGGGGCACGCATTCTTGAAATCCTAATGCGAAAGGCTTCCCTCTTTTCTGTCCAAGACAGAGAGGTATACAAAAAAAACAGTTTATGATGTAAGGCAGCCATTAAAATCTATTCACAAGCTGCCATCCACCGCAATTTTTAGTACAATGCTGGATGCTTGAATAGAATAGCATATAAATCTGGAATTTGAGAGGTTAGCAGTTAGCAATCATCTGTCTACTTCAAGTGGAAATAAACAACAAGCTACTTCAAATGGCATTACTGGAGATCCTATATCTTTTCCTCCTCCCATGATGATACATAAATTGGTCACTGTAATCTAATCATTGGCAAATTTTCTGTTTGACATAAGGCCTTTCGCTAAATGAAGGTATGATGATCTTCAGATCAAATCCATAATTATGTTCATATTATACGATCACATTCCCAACTTATCCTGATATATGAAGATAGAATGATTGTACACTTTCTTAGGCTTTGAGTGGTAATCCCCATTACAGGGATTTGTTTCGACTTGTCGTTATCTCTTTCTTTTGGGAAGCTTGAAAGGATAATTTTATCTGGTTGGTCATGAAAATCACTCTCTCCCGTAATTTGGAATTGTTTAACATCCCTTTCTTCATTTGATTTTCTAGGAGAGCGTTGCCCGTCTTGAGGAGTTCAAAAAGTCGATTGAAGCAAAGATGGCTTTACGTCGAAGTAATCTTAGTCCTGAAAGACCAGGTGAGTATTTTCACGAAGAATAATTTGTGTCTATGAATATGTTAAATAGATGGATGTGGTAATATAGAAATTGCTATTGGATGCTGTTATATAATTCTTATGGTTGTGCTTTAACTGCCCATTCACTTTGAAGGGTCTGTAACTCGATGGTGTAATTTACGTACTTCATTAACCATTATGAAAGGGATTTCAAACTAATAAAGACAACATAATATGCAAGTTTAGTAATTTGTTGCTTACACCCCTTTGGAACATTGTGTTTGTAAATTAATTGTTAAGGGTCTCCTTTATATGCACCACTGTATGAAGACATCTTCCTTTCGTGGAGGCTCTTCCAACAAAGTACACTTGCCTACTAAACCTACCTCTGACCAATTAAATGTCTTCCCTTCTTCAACAATCAATGCCAATTGATCATCTTACAGATCCATTGGGTGTTCTCCTAAAAATTATGAAGACCTTCAACTTAACTGTTAGTGAATAGACCTTCTGAGCACATTAACACTTTTGACGAGCTATCCTTATTTTGTATTAGTAGCTGGACAAATTGGACTCTCGGATCAGAATTTGCACACCAAGTAGAAACATCAGGACTGATAGCTTGCATCCTAGAGGTCAAGGGCACCTGACATTAACAGTGTAGTTCCTTGTGCCAAATTTTAAAAGCTCAGGGGTCTGGTCAAAAACCTAGTTTACTTGGTAAATCTTGGCTTTTAGATATGGGCAAATATTGGACACTTGCTAGTGCCCGAGCTAAGTAAACATTGGAGAGGTATGAGTCTTGTGGTCATGCTATTAAAAGTGTCTCCTGCTCAGAAACCATTCCAAAATATCTGAAGCTAAAAGAATGCAACCTCCTCATTCTTGCTTGTGTATGTCTGCAACTCAGCATTATCTTTTGTCATCAATTGTGGTCCTTTGCTTTCCTTCTATGTGAGACGTGAGCTACCAGAACCCCAGGCTCTTGCTATCTGAATATAGAAATTTACTGATTTGATGCAGTGTTTTGTAGACACCGGGTTAAATCTTCTCAAAGAGATTGAATTTAATGTGTGTTTTAATATCTGAATGTAGGAACGTACTGATTTGCCGCATTGCTTTGCAGACACTGGGTTAAATCTTCTCAAAGAGATTGAATTTACTGTGTATGTTTTAATATCCATCTCCTGCATAACAATGGAAGTTTTTCTAATGTGACTCTGTTTAGATGATGCAATCAATTCATTGACTGGATTGTCTCACATAGAATATTGAACTGAATGTCGTGGTTTTGTTTTGTAAAAGAAAATATGATATTTAATATTCGTTCTTATAAAGTTCATCATGAGATTTGTTTATGGTACTTGAACCCACTACTAATGTTGAGAAAAAGAAAGTAAAGGAGATTTGACTGGAATGGATGGAAAGGTAACCTTATTCCTGGTCATGTCCAAGAGGATTCCTCATCAGGTACAAACTCTTGGATTTTGAGGGCTCTCCGAGCTTTGTACATGACACCGGAGGTACTAGTATGGATCTTTATTAATCATGACTTATGAGGTTGACAGATTCATAAAAAAATATTGTGAGTGAAAATTCCAAAATGAATCCAAGATGTCTTTCTGACCTTTTTCTTTGAAGGTCTCTATCCTGTTTTATGGGCATATATATTTCATTCTTTTATCATTACTGAGAAGATACTTCAGGAAGACATGAGAAATCATAGAGTTCAGTGTCACGTTGCTAAATTCTGTACCTAGTGGACCGGTGCAGTGGCTAGCGAAAGTCTCCACCTTGACTAAGGCAAGGCCGGCTTACACAAGCCAGGCAAGAGGAAAGAGCTGACAAGCACACAAGGGTCACGTACAAGCAATAGACAAAGGGTTGTAACCCAATTTTGTTACTCTATTCACTTACATGTGTACTGCCACAGATGCCCGCCAAGGTCTGGACCTGGTTTATATAGAATCCTTGTCAATTACACTACTTGAAATTCAAATTACACATCGTCAGTGGCTGTTACATTTAATTTCCTAGCTGCCATGCTCAATGGTTGTCACAGCCCACTCGTAGGCTGCTGCTGCACCATTTGAAATTGAACTTCACCTTATTTCCATGCGACTTATCCAGCTCAGGGGCACCTGATTGCACCCATCCCTCTCACTGCTGCGCAGACGTGTGGTAGTGAGGCTTCAGGCTCCACGTGCCATTGCCACACTAGTTTCATCCTCCATGATCTGGTCTGCCCACTCCTTGGATCAACACACTTGCCCAGCCAAGTCTATGATCAGCTACTTCTTGCACCCAGTCCATGCTCCAACTCCTATTAGATCAGCTTCCCATGGTTTGACCAATTTCCAAGCGACTTATCCAGCTCAGGGGCACTTGATTGCACCCATCCCCCTCACTGCTGCGCGGACGTGTGGTAGTGAGGCTTCCGGCTCCACGTGCCATTGCCACACTAGTTTCATCCTCCATGATCTGGTCCGTCCGCTCCTTGGATCAATGCATGTGCCCAGCCAAGTCTATGATCAGCTACTTCTTGCACCCAGTCCATGCTCCAACTCCTATTAGATCAGCTGCTCATGGTTTGACCAATCAAGCAATAGCTTGTTGGCCTCGGTGGTCCACTATGTTCCACCGTTCTTAGCCATATGTCTGCACTACTTGCCTAAAGTCTCGTGCCAAGGGTCTTTAGCCACTAGACCGCATGTGCAAGTTCCATGAACCACATCGTACCAACCACTCCACTCAGTCATGGATGAAGGGACCTCAATTCCCTGATGTAGGTTTACCAGTCCCAAGGAGAGGCCTGCCAAGAGAGAGCTATTTACGAAAGTAGCACAAGTCCAAATGGACTTGCGGATCCATTGTGATTTGTTTTGCTGCTACGGGCTCCCTGTGCACTACTTAGCTTGCATGCCTCTAAGGAAAGGGGTCTATCAAGCCTTCACCACCTTAACTCCAACGTCCTCATTGGATGCTTGTCCTACATCGGTTCCCATAAACCTTAGCTTTCGTCCAAGGCTCATACTTGTCAGGATAAAGCCTTCTGCCAAGTCCTTCTTGCACCACTTGGTTGAGTCTGCTGCACTGCACACATGATTAGGTGCTTAAGCGGCCGTTATGTCTCCATTTGGGTGTGTGTGATGAGGTCCGTTGCTGCACCATGTCTGTCCTGTCTCATAGACACAATCATGTCCTTAGAGCTTCCAACATGTGTCCTTCTAGGTGCGCGGTCAGGTCTGCTGCTGCCACCATAACCCATGCCACCACCTGTGGTCATTAAGAGAGTGTCCTAAAGAGAGTCGTCTCACTCCAGCCTTTCTAGTGGCCGAGCTATACCTGCGATACTCATGCCGATTGCTGAATCTCCTTCTGTGTCCATTTGGGCTAGGTGGATGTTCCCTCGCATCACAACCCTTACTAGTCAAGGATGGCTCCATGGAGCTGGATGACCTTGTCTAGTGGTCCACCTTCACCAAGAACGATCTCCTCATGATGACCCTGCTTGGCTTTGGTTTCCAATTTCTCACACTGGCATCAACCAGTTGCATTTAAACAAGCATATTGAGCAGGTCTGTGCTGGTGCTTCCTTGTCCTTCCCCACCAGCCCAACTATATTGAGAGACAGTTTTTACGGATGTTCCTTCTCCGGTGGTCACTTTTGCAAATGAAACAACTTAAGAGGGTTTTATGGGGCTACTCTCTCTTTTTGATCACTCCCTTCTTAGGCCCATTGAAGTGCTATAGTCCCTCACCATTGGAACTCAGCAGCTTGGTCAACTCCACCTCGATGCAATGATTTATAGTCTGTAGGACCTCAGACTCCACCGTAGCACTCGGCAATTCACACACACCTTGCTTCTTCAACTCTGCCTTTAACCTCATTAGGTCTAGATAGGCTTCGCTATGAAGTTTCACCACTCTCCCATACACATTAATGCCCCTTTTCGATAGTTCATGTGAGCCTATGCTTGGCTATATGCAGCTAGCGGTGAACTGCTGGAAACCGGATCAAACCCCATCAAAACCTAGTTTAAACTAGCCTAAAGGAGAGTCTAAACCAAGTTGAAACCCATTTCACATCCATTTGAGCCTGATTCGATAATTCACCACGCATCCACATCTAAGCTACATGTAGCTCATGGTGAAGTTTCGAAAGTTACTCAATCCTCATCTATTCGTCATGAAACTCATCCCTTATTTGAATTTGTCATTTTCAAACTGCCCAAGATTTTGGTTTGATTTGGATAACATTTGTGACCAAATCAAAAGTTCACTGTTAGAGCCCCTTGTGCTTAAACTAGGCTCGTGGTGAGCCTTGAAAAGCCCTTAAATGCATCCAAATTCAAAGATTTTAGGTGAGTAATATTGTAATACCTCCATAAAGCATTGTCCCAAGTTTGGGAGCATTTTGGTACCATTCAGTCCAACTTGGGAATTCACCATGAGGCCTATACGTGCATAGACTGGGCTAGCGGTGAACTTTGGAAACCCATCAAAATGAACTCTAAACTTCATCATTTTTGGAGTATAGGCTTATTGCATCATTTTGAGGGCATGTCCAAAGTCCTGGCTCATTCAGAGGCCATTATCATGATTATTTTCGTAATCTAAGGACTAGGAAATCATTTCCTGATTTGTTACTCCACTGGGATTCTATTACAAAACACATCAACACCACATAGCTTGGATATATGTCACTAAAGCACCTAACATCACCATATTGTTATTAAGAAATTCATCTGGGTTAATAATAATTCTACATCTCTTTAGCAGATTTTCCTTTTTCTAGTAATCCTTCATGTAGTTCATGATTGCATTCTGAATAGTTTGGAAGATAGTCTATGATTTTGATGTTTATAATTTGTGGGAGAATCAAATACTTTATACGGGAACGATTGAAGGCCGAGGTTTATCTGAACTTGAGCAAGTTTATGTGCAGGATGGCATTATTTCGTACAAGAAACTTCTCTAATTTGAAGTTTGATTTGTCCATCAAAACTCTTTTATTGTCTTACTGACTGGAACTTGATTGAGTCTAGTTGCGGTGATGGATATGTTGTCATGAGGAGTTAAAATGCTGCTTTACTTGTTTCTCTGTCTTTGAAATCATGTGCTGCTTATTAATGTGTACTTGGATAATTAAATGCCTAAAATCTGCTGTGACCTTTCGTTTCAGATTCAGCTTTCCTCAGGACGTTAGATTCCAGCATAAAGCGTAATACAACAGTTATTAAGAAGCTTAAACAAATAAATGAGGAGCAGCGTGAAGCACTGATGGAAGACCTAAGAAGCATTAATTTGAGCAAGTTTGTGAGTGAAGCTGTGACATCTATTTGTGAAGCAAAACTTAGAACTTCAGATATACAGGCAGCTGTTCAGGTGATCATTTTTGTGCTTTCTTCTTGAATAAGGAGATTCTGTTCTTGCTAATTTAACCCTTTCCTGGAATTTATTTATCTTTATATTTCGCTCTGTTGAAAAGCTCCCTCTAGACAAGAACCATTAGCTTGTTTATGCATTTAATGATACCGAATCACCAGATATATTCTGTTGTAATTAACTTGGTGCTTGCACATTGAAGTGCAATATTTAATTTCATTTGATTTTGCCGTAATTTTGCTAGGTTTGCTTGTAGAAAGTTCATCTAGAGCTTACAGGTGTAAAGAGAAAAAACTAGGCTCTTAATGAATAACAGGATTATGAAAATCATGCTGTGATATTGTTGATAGTCGATCCCTCTATAATATGCTTCAGAGAATATGTTCTTTGCAAACTCGTACCATTGGATTCAGGCGTTAACCACTTTTATCAAAATGGCATGTACTGTGGCCTTAAAGTATGTACTCCACTCATGTGATTTCTTGTCTTTACTATCATCTTGGACTGCCAAATTAAGAAATTAAGTTTGTTCTATATCAGTTTGGTTGTATTACTAAATTATGTCTCTATATTCAACTGTATAGGTATGTTCTTTGCTCCATCAAAGGTACAAGGATTTCTCCCCTAGCCTAATTCAAGGGCTATTGAAAGTGTTCTTCCCTGGAAAATCTGGAGAAGATTTGGATGTCGATCGGAGCATGAGGGCACTGAAGAAGCGCAGCACTCTAAAGCTCCTCATGGAACTATATTTTGTTGGAGTTATTGATGATGCTGGCATTTTCATAAACATAATTAAGGATCTTACTAGCTTGGAGCATTTGAAGGACCGAGACACAACCCAGACGAATTTATCGCTGCTTGCTGGTTTTGCTCGTCAGGGAAGAATTTTCTTGGGACTGCCTCTATCGGGACAAGAAGTGCTAGAGGAGGTATACCTTATTAATTTCTACATCATGTGTATGTATGTATGCATCTATTATATATATGTATGTATGCATCTATTATATATATGTATGTATGCGTCTATTATAAATATGTATGTATGTATAAATGTATGAATGTTTGTACGTGTATTGTGTATGTAGTGTGTATATTTAGGAAATATTTTGTACAGACCCCTCAAAAAAATTTCAATTTCATAGAAACTTTCGTAAGATTGTATAAAACTCTAACCTTAGCCAATGAGGCCACCGTGGCCTGGACATGTTCGTTGATTCTATTCAAACCTCTACTTTTGTCCTTAGAGAATCTATTTTTTCTCTCTAACCAAGTAAGCCAAATGGTAGTCAGTAAATTTGGTCTCCACAGTACCAATCCCTTTGGCAGACGGGAAATACCATTCCAATGATAGGGCCTTAACTGAGGATGGCACCAATACCAGGTTATGTCAAATAGATCTAGGATAAAAGCCCATACGTGTGTGATGGGAAGAACAATGCATAGACAAATAATTTACCATTCCTCGTTCTTCTCATCAGGAAAATGTTGGGAGATTGGCAAAAAACCACTTACTCATTGGGCTAAGATTGGACTACAAACTGCGAACAGCTGTGTTTGCTTGTTCACACTAGGTTAGAGTTTTAAACCCAAGCACCATTTGCTTTTTGGCTTGGATGCCTTTGACCATCTAACTAAATGAAGATTTTGTCTTTCTGAAAACCCACTCCATGGAAATTTCTTCATCAACTTCTTCATTTGCCTCATGACTGATACTGGATCATATATAAAAACATCTAGTGAACAGGTAAATTGGACAATGTTGACCTAATAATGGTATTCACCCCCAATGGATAAGTACCTTATCTTCCATGAGTACAACTTCACTTTGTGTATATATTTCCTCCACATTCCTTTAGCTGGTTGCCAAGATTTAGTGGCAGGCCTAAATACTTATCTGGGAGCTTGTCAAGTCCACGCTCTACAAATCTGGCTAGCTCTTTCAATTCATGATCTGGGATGTCTATTCCTAATAGCCCCTTTTTTTTTTGTTTTTTGGCCATTTGGCCCTTGAATCACATACTGCGTCAAAATATCTTCAGAACCGCCATAAGGAATTCTTTTGGACTTTAGTAGTATCACAAAAGTTAAAGTGTGTCATCAACATGTTGCAAGTCGGAGACCTTTGGTGATGCTTTGAAACCTGATGGCAGTTCTTCCTCATGAACTCCTTTTAAAGTACGGGCAAAAGATCCAGCAACTATGGAGGAAAGGAAGGGGAGAGAGGGTCCCCCCTGTGATAAGCCTCTTGAGCTCTTGAAGAATTTCTTTGGTGCTCCATTGATAAGAACTGAGAAATTGTAGCCACACATCCTGAAATCCACCTACGCCACCTGTACCGAATCCCATAAGCCCCATAATCTTATCTAAGAAACCCTGATCAGTCTAATCATTGGCTTTTATAGGTTCAACTTGCATTATTTACACCGAGAGAGTTGCCCCTATGCCTGGATTGTATGAACTCATGGGCTACTGATTCCCCATCAAGTATTTCCCTCTCTTTCACAAAGGCGACCCATGGAAGGGAAATGACTTCGTCAAGAATTCATGAAGCCTTGCTGATAACACCTTAGTTTTTACACACTGCCCAACAAGTTAATTGGCTGTAAGTCATTAGTATCTCCGCCCCTTCTTTCTTGGCACCTGAGCTATGAAAGTCAAGTTCATGGCTCCGTTGATTGACAATCATTTTCGTATACTTAATTCATTTTTTGTTATTAAGATTCTTGAATTAGACTTTTCTGCTTAGCATGGTTGCTTGGTGGTTCATCCTTTGAACAATCCTATCTCCCATGAGTTTAATGGCTGGTTATTATATGGAAATCCTGAATTCTATCTTTGTATTTTGACGGCTTATGGGCTCATGGTCCTGGATATGGCTAGAATGCATATTTCATCTTTTGTATGTATGCCTACTAGCTGAATCTCTCACCGAAGGTCACAATCCGACCCTGGTTCTTTGATTCTGGCTAGGAATCTTCTTGGAACTCGATTCTTTGATGTCTAGATTCTCGATCCTTATTTTAGGATTCTAGAGTCCTATTTAAGAAATCTTGATTCCAACACTTATAGAATCTCGTTTCCAATATTTACTGATTCTCGACTCTATAATTGGTGAATCTCAATTCTACACTTGTTGAAATTGGTTTTCACATTTACCGGAATTCTACCAATTCTCCTCCCTGTTTGTTTTTTTGGCTTTTTCTGGGAAGTGGTGTTTAGAAGTTTTCAAGGCATCAAACTACTCTAACGAGACTCAATTTCAAGCTACAAGGTGTTAATCATCTTTTTTGGCATGAAATGACCAATAGAAACCAAAGTGGTGGTCTATGTTCTCTACTTAATTCTTTAATTATGCATTGCATTGATCCAATGGAGAGTTTGCAACTCTAAGATGTTAGAAATAATGAAATACAAATAATGTTAACTTACATGTATGGCATGTCGATCAACGAATGGCATTGAGACATGTATTATTTCCCTCTTGGTTCCCTCTCGATTCCAGAGATGTTGGCATCTCGATGCCATGAATGAAAGAATAATCTCGATTCCATATTGGTCAATTCCAACTAGGTTCAGAAACTCAAATCCAAAAAGCTAGGAGTCTTCATTCCATCTATGTAGGATATCGATTCTATTTTGGTCAAATCTTGATTCCGAAAAGTAGGGATCTTGTTTCGCATGATTCCTCTTACGCGGACGTCAATTCCGAAAACATGAAACTTCCAGCAGGCAGCGATTCCATGTTTTCGATTCCTAAATTGATTCGGTTTCCCAATCGCTTTGGGTAATTATGATCTAATTTGCTCGGAATCGGAACTGAGTTGTTTTGTGAAGCAATAGGAATATGTATGTGTAAAATGTGGTTAAGATCATGTCTCCTTTGATGGGGTAAAGAAAATGTATGGGTGGGTTTGTTTGTCACAAATGAATGGCATTTTTTTTCCTATGCAACTAGTTAATGGCACGTGTGTACTGTCACATGATGCTCCTACTAACAGGATGGATGGAACTAGTTTTAGAAGATTTAACTTGGTGGGGTTGTTTGGACCCTCTCATATGCAAATGCTGGATTTGACTCTTATGGTATAGGTAGAGAGATCCTAGGATAAGCAAATCCTGCACACGAGGACATTGCTTTGTAGTTAGCTTCTGGTTGGAGCCAGCGATATAAATGTAAATCATGTTTGAGTCATTTATTTTTAAAACCTGGATTTGCCAGTTTCATGTTAAAGCAGGTCAACAGTACAAATAATCCACTTGTAACGTATTTTACAAAATGGACGATTCAAATCGTAGGTTGGACCATTTTATCAATTGTTACATTTTCTGTCTCTTCTTTCCTATCATAAAAATGCGTATTGGATATTGAGATAATGTTGATTAGATATTGATATATCTCTAATATATCAATTTAATCTTAAAATGGTCTGTCTCTCATGGAGCGATATATATGGGATAATAAATAGCACCAACTAATTATGCATACCACCATAAGATCATGTCTTCTTAGAAATGATACGATAAGTGTCCAAAAACATGTACTAATAAAACATACTTTGTCATGCCCATCTTGTCTGCATTGACATCACAACAGCAAGCACAACTAAACAGATATTATCATGCTCCTCCTCCCCCTTTTATTGAGCCCTTTATCATTGAGATCATAATATGGTGCTGATGTATTCTCTTGATGGATGTTTCAGAAGTGTTCATTTGCTTCTTGTAGATTTTGGACTGTAGACAAAACAAAATGTTGCACCGATAAGTCATTTGACCTACTATTAACATTCATCTCATGTTCTATAGACGCCTGGTCAACATCCGATGAACACTAAATAATGAGAAGACATTGTTTGTCCCAAGTATCCAATCATTTGTAAGGAGCTTTGAGAAAAATCATTAGCAATAAAAGTTCCATATTATATAACACTAATAATCTTGCTAAAACACATTAATAAACGTTTCTTATGATGTAAAGCTAATAATCTTGCTAAAACTCTGTGAGGCTTTCTTCAATGGGAACATTGAGTGGTCTTTCATGTGAATTAAATAGTAAAAAATTTGCAATAATGTTTAGCTTCGGTTCTAGCTTCATTGATCATCAGGCAATGGAAACAATTGCGTATTGCTTACTATTTTATGATCACCTCATTAGCATCCGTATGGAGAAAATATAGACACCAGCCTCTTAGAACATCAATATCGTCAGACCCAGGCATGAATTGTATCAATTTTAAATACCAAGCCCCGCCAATATGGACTACCATCAGTACGAATGCAAATCCATGTCTTAAATTTATAGATTTACCAAAATGTTTCTAGAAAATGACCAATTTCAAGGAAATAAAAACCCATGAACAAAACTATAGAAAAAGGGATTTTTTGTGTGT